TCATAAATGCTATTTTTATCACATTATAAGATTTCAGTGTTTTTATGTAATTATTATCCATATACTCATCTTTACCATTAAAGCTTCACTAGAACTTGCTTTTGATATCAACTTCCAAACTTGACATAGTACTAAGAAGTTGCTATTATCTAATTTTCTTTTTTTTGTATAACTGCTAAATTTTTGTATATTTTCTAAACAACTGAATCAAAATAGATCTGTTTGGCCAGGTCACTGGCCTAGTAATAGCTAGTGACGTCCAATATAATATAAATGTATGTATTTAACACCTCACTACTGAAAGGGTGACCAGTACCACTGCCAGTATCTGGGAGCTTGTTAAGAAAAGTGGACTCTCAGGCTCCACTCTATAAACTACTCAATCAGAATCTGTGTTTTAACTAGATCCCCAAGCAATTCACAAACACATTAAAGTTGGAGAACTAGTCTAGTATTTCACCAGAGCCTGCTTCTCTCTCATGTCTCCACTCCCTGCTCCCACTTTCAGAAGTACCCATGACATTTTCCTTTCAGATACCTTAGAATCTGAGTATGATGAAAGTTACCTTTCCTATCCCTCTGCCATCCTCATGGGTCTGTCCCAGAGGGTCTCCTCCAAGTCTCTGCTCCTCAAAAAGGGAAAAGCCTCAAAAAGTACAGGCTCTAGAGCCATGCTAGTTGGGTTCATTTAAACTCTGACTCTACTCATTACTATAGATGGGACCTTGGGCCAGCACACTGCGACACTGTGCCTCAGTTTTAGGTGTAATAGGAATAGTATTGTCATGCATGTTAGCTATTATCCTCTGAAATCAAGGCCTTAACAGCTGAGTATTTAGGAATTTCTCCTCGTCTTCTGCTGATGGTGCTTCTATCACAAGATGGTTTATTCATTTGGACTTCTGCTACTGAATCAACTAGTTCCACCTTCATCTGGGGATGATTTCATAAAACTTCCTGAATCAACAGAGTCCCCAGGCTTTTTGGACTTGGAGTGTCCACCTGGTAAACATACGTGAATGAATCTCCTGTTAGAAGCTTTAAGAATGAGGCAGCCATCTTCTTCAAGGTTCAACAATATTCTGAGGAAAGTGAGCACAGGGAACAATCCGGGAAGGAGACAGTTGAAGGAGAAAGCCAGAAGAATTTCAGCACTGGTGGGAGGAAAGGGGGAAATGGGGACATATATTGTCTAGTGGAGAGTTGTCTGGTAACTTAATTTTCCCAACAGAACATGATGTTCGCTGTAGGTTTTCCACAGATGCACTTTATCAAATTAAGTTTTCTTCTATTCCTAGTTTCCTCAGAGTTTTAAGTCATGAATCAGAGTTGAATCCTGTCAAATGTCTGTCTGCATGTATTGAAGTGATCATGAGGGATTTCCTTTATTTTATTATGGTAGATTATAGTAACTGACTCTTCTAATTTTAAAACGACCCTGCATTCTGAGATAAACTCGACTTGGTCATAAGGTATTATGTTCTTTATATACTGCTGGATTCAACTAGCTAATAGTTCAATAATTTCTGTATCTATGTTCATGATGTATATTGGTATGGCCACTTTCTTTCCTTGAAATGTCTTTGGCTCGTTTCGCTATTGGGGTAATACTTGTTTTCATTTTTTTTAAAAAATAGGGTAAGTATTCCATTTGCCCCTATTTTCTGAAAATCTCTGTAGAATTAAAGCTTTTTACTCCTTAAATGTTTGCTAGAATTCACCAATAAAGCAAAGTGGACCTGGAGTTCTTTTGTATGAAAATTCCTGATAATTTCTTTAATATTAAAACTATTCACATTTTCTGTCTTGTATCAGTTCTAGTAAGCTGTATTTTTCAAGAAATTTGGTGACTTTAATTTATTGGTTTAAATTTGTACATAATATTCCTTATTGTCCTTTTAACATCTGAAAGATCTAAATAACATTCTTGATTTCATTCCTGATAGGGATAATCTGTCTTTTAGGTTTTTCCATCACTTTGCTAGAGGTTTAATTTTATTAATATTCTCAAAGACCAACTTTTGGCTTTGTTAACTGTATTACCCTGTTTTCAATATCACTGATTTTTGCTCTTGCTTTTAATATTTCTTTCTTCTACTTACTTTGAATTTTATTGCTCATTTTTTCCCCCTCTAGTCTGCTCTTTTAAATATATAAATATTTAAAGCTATAAAAGTAAGGAAGCAAGTACAATTTTACTGATTTGGCCTTTTGTTAGCTTATTTCTCTGGATTATTAAATCTTGAAAAAAATTTCTAAAATTTTTATAGGTAAATATTTTCAGGATAATCAGTAAATTCTACCATGGAGAGAGTATGCACGTAAACATAAAAAATGATTATAAGAATATACAAAGCCTAGTTAGCATTCCTGTTACATAACCCCTGGTTTTTCATTCCATTCCAAGCTGGATATGTGTTTATTCTAAAGATGCTTGAATTTTAAGAACTCTCAGTTCCTGTTTTGGATGCTATGTTGTAATTACCAATGACTCATTCACCAAGTTTTTGGATATAAATGAAGGTGAGGTATGACTTCAGTTCATTTTAATGCTTTGACTACACTAACTGCATCACTGGTACACTGTAAAGATTAAATTTTCCTGTTATGAAGTTATCTACATTTATGTAATAAGTCGTCTTTAGTTATTGCTCATACAAGCTTTACATATATATATATATATATATATATATATATATATATATATATACATTAAGCTTTTTATATTCATCTTTGGAGATCTATCTCCCTTTTAAATAATTCATTTTTGAGTTCTAGTTTTTAAATACTGAAAAGGGTAAATGCATACAGGTGGCGCAGTGGTCAAGAAATCTGCCTGCCAGTGCAGGAGATGTGGGTTCAATCCCTGGGTCAGGAAGACCCCCTGGAGAAGGAAATGGCAACCCACTCCAGTATTCTTGCCTGGGAAATCCCACAGACAGAGCCTGGTCATGGGGTCATAAAGAGTTAGACATGACTGAGTGAGCACACACGCACACACAATAGCACCAAAAATGATTTTCACCATAAAATTCCTTTAAGAGTTCTCTTTAAAGGAATTATTGTACTATCAAGTGAAACTTTTTCAAACTCAATCCGTGAAGATATTCCTTCTTAAATATACATACAACCAAATGAATTTCTGTATATTTCAGAGATAATAAAATATTTTTGCTAATTTATCTCAAAACATAGGTATTAGTGACCTTCTCTAATTAGGTCAGGTAGTAGGGAAAAAACCCAATGCTTTTTTTTGGTTGTGCTGGGTCTCAGTGTTGCTTGGACTTTCTCCTGTTGCAGTGAGCAGGCTTCTCATCGCAGTGGCTTCTCTTGTTGTGGAGCAAGGCTCTAGTGCATGGGCTTTAGCGGCTGCACACAGGAGCTCATGAGTGGTGGCTCACAGGTCCAGAGCGTGGGGGCTCAGTAGTTGTGGCTCATGGACTTAGTTGCCCAAGCTATGTGGAATCTTCCCGGACCAAGGATCAAATCTGTGTCCCCTGCATTGGCAGGCAGATTCTTATCCACTGTACCACCAGGGAAGTCCTCTGATAAATTTTCTATTTAGCATAAGGTTAGGTTGGAAGAAAAGGCTTTTGATTTTAAAGGCCAAATGGAAAGCTATTTTATTTTGTGAGCCAAGAGAGGATACACTTCAGTGGGACGAAAACTGCACCTATCAAGATGACTTTTGCTCCTGACAATTTTACCTTTTTTTAAAAAAAGGTAAACATTTAAAAATCATATATCATTTCAGCATCTTATTTTTAAGAAATCCAACATTTTGGCATAAGACAAATTTATACAATTAAACTCTTCAAAACATAATATGGCATATATTATTTTTCCACAGGGCATCAGATACTAACAGATATAGACCACTTTGTTAAATAACAAAAATCATATGAAAATCAACACAGTATTTCATTTATTTACTGTATAAGTCTGGCAAACAGCACAAAAATTCAGCAACATTTCAAACATGTAAAAAAGTCAAATGTTGAACAGTACTGAAAAATTTTTTTTTACATAATTAGTAATAATGAGTATACATGTAGAGTTCTGCAAAGCTAGCAAATTCCAAGGGTGCTTGGCTTCTGAACATATACCACAAAAACACATACACAAAAGCAATATAATTTATCTTTATAAAAATTATAGCCAAGCAATAAAAAAGGATGATAATAATGAAGATAATAATACATATGTTCACTACATATATCTTATACATTGAAATGCTACATCTTGTACCCTGAAATGCCATGTGTAGAGAGCCAAGCAGAGTAAATTTAGGCTCATCACTGAGGTTAAGAATTATTTAAGAATTTAATGCTTGTATATGTAACATACTCAAAACTTTCTATATAGCAATTCCTAGATTATAACAATGTATTCCACTGAGAAGCTGAGTCTTCTTTGTTGGCAGTATAAAATTTTGACCATATCAAAATTCTGGTAAAACACACACTGAAGGCATTGTCTAGTGTATGTAATGTTTGGGGGCATTAATGAATGTAGGAGAAATTCTTAGATTTCACACTAAATTTCAGCTGAGCTTTGTCAAACCAAACAGCTCAACTGTAAGGCAAGAAAAATTAACCCTCTGTGAGAGATTAGTGGGCCTTACCAAATAAAGATAAGAATTCAGTCTTAGGGAAAGACTCCCTACATAAGCAGATATGAAACAGTGGGCACTTGAAACGAACTTCTAGAAATGACCTAACATCTTGACATTCAGACACTGGTTCAGAAGCAACAATCTGTTGGTATATTTTATCTAATTAACATTTTACAATCAGCACCAGTCCCCAAAACCTCAAATTATAATATTTAATCTTCATTAAAATACATCCTTTTGTGCTATATTAATATAATCAAATTAATGAAAGTTGAACTTACTCAACTTACTATATATTTTTGTGTATGCAGGGTAACAAATCTTTTTATTTACTTGTGCTTCTGTTTTGGGGTACTTTGATTGAAGAGAAATTCATTTCACAGGATTACATCTTGCTAAAGCATTCCTTAGCATTGGTCCAAACTTGAATTCCCTTTTAAAACAAACAAAAAAAAAAAAAAAAAAAAAAAAGGCCCCAAAACCTTAAAATGTAATTTTGGAAGGATTTTGAAAGGCCAAGTACTTGGCTTACTGGTATGTTAGGTTTCAACTTTTGGAATAATTAGTAAGTACAACAAACAGAACACTTTTTCTGGCAATGGCAAATATAAGTCAAAGTGAAATACTTGTGAAAAAAGTAATAGAATCATTGTATGAGCCTGTTTTCAAAACAGATACAGAACTCCTACTTCTTTTTGAAAGACTCATTTACTCATATCATATATTCATATCATTTCTACTTATAAAACAAACAAGTTTTGCAATATCTAAAACAAAAAACCTGATTAGTCTAACAATTAAATATTATTAATTTATTAACCTAATAACCAATATTTTGATAAAAAGTTATGAACTCCCTCTCAGTGGTTACAGCAGGCTATTTAGCAAAAACTAACATGCTATTATATACCTAATAGGCTTAAACAAAAATGCATGTTTGTAAAAAATGTAATAGTAAAATCTAGACAGTGGTGGAAGGTATGTTTTCAACAAACAAGATATATATATATCCTGTTTATATATATATATTCTTCAATAACTGCTAATTTATCAAGAAATTTTAATACTTACACATTAAAGTTAATCAATATTTATTGAGGCTTTGAACAATAGGAAAAAAATTAATCTTTTTAGCTTTTTTTCCTCCCTGATGAAACACAAAAAGAAAAACAAAACAAAACCACACAAGAATCCTTTAATGTCCCAGACTGACTTACTAAATGATTTACTGAGATAAAGCATGCTGAATCACTCAATAAATTAAGAAGCACTAGAGAAATGTAAAGCACCAGTACTGACTGGTGATCACACAGGCAGCTCTGGGGTTCTGAAAATGAGGTTAAGGAATATTATACATTTTGTTCTTACAACATCATTTTAAAAAATTTCCATCACTGCCAAAACACTTATTTTAACCAGAATAAGCTTCAGTGTTCATACCTTATACGAGAGGTATCAGTGACATGTGTATTAATACACACTTTCATGTGTATCTTTTCAAACTCATTTGTATAACATACAATCATTTAAAAAATACACACTTTCCTCTTTCCCACAAAAACAGGATTGCATTATATGCACTAGTGTGTAGCCTGTTTTCTCATCTGCCGTTCTATTAGGACATCTCATTAGGACAGTACATGTGAGATCCATCTTATTAGGACAGTGCATGTGAGATCTATCTTGCCTTTTCTAACACTGAATACTCCATTAGATACTACTCTATCTAAACCCTAACGTTTAGACCATTTTTCAATGAAAGTATGTATCGCTGTTAGGAATGGTATTTTACTGCCCTGTTCAAGAATATCACATAACCATAGTAATGTTTTTAGTACATATTTTCAAATACAAGTAAAAACAGGGCATACAAATTTGGAACTTTAGATGAGTGGAGACTTGGTAATTAAGATTTTAATTATGACACTTCTTTCAAAATTAAGTAGAGAAACTGGGAAACATTCTGGAAGAGAAGAATGGACTTTAAAAATAAAAATGATATACACTTTGTTCCAAATAAGAAACTGATTTTAAAGAAATTTGGCAGCACTTCTGAATATACTCGTACCTTCAATGAAACCAAAACCTACCTTTTTGCACATACTGATCTGCATGACTGCGTAGCTGATGAGGGCCTCCTTTAAATCATGGTTCTTTTGTTCTTTGAAGCGTTCAATATCAGCCCAAGCATTTTTGACAAACTCTCTGAAATAAAGGGTATAGTCATCATTATTATTCTTATTTAAATTAAATAAACTACATATTATTAATTCAAATAAACACTTCTCATCTGAGTTGGGTTTTTGTCTATAAAGTGAGAGAAAAAGCAGACAGTCATACACTCTTCTACATTTTAATAGTCTCTTTTACCATGAATTCCAGCTTCAAATTATTCCTGTAAAACAGATGTAAATGGCTCCTTGAACCAACTTACAAGCCAACAGATGCCGCATGAACTTACCTGCCTGGAGTCACTGCAAAACATACAGTCTTTTCAACAAGATGGATTATGTATCACATTTATCATGTATTTTCTTTAAATGACAACTAGAGTTTTAAAAGTTCTGAGAGCCATTTGTCTTTTTTTTTAAACATGTGATCCATTTGTCTTTTTAACTCTGTTCATGAGTTAACTTTGACTTACTTGACACCAGCAGTTTCAAAAATTAACAAAACCACCTCCAAATCAGTGAAACTCTTAGTCTGCCTTGATCTACTCAACAACTGTCAAAACTGACAAAAACAACATGAAAAATGCGCCCAAAAGTCCATGGCAGATCTCTGAGAAGTGAATTTCTGAAAATATTTATGGAATAATTATATTCTAAGTCATATGCAAGGTGCTGGGACATAAAGATGAAGAAGACACAATCACTGTGTCTTTGAAGGGCTTGTAATTTAGCCAGAGACAGTCACACTGTACAAAGTGCCGTGGGATAAGGGCATTAACCAAGTGCTGTGACAGCCTGTGAGGATAAGAGAAGGCTTAACAAAGGAAGCAGTTCAAGAGCTGGGCATTGCAGAATGATGAGGCTTTTAACTGACAGAATAGAGTAGAGGAAATATGCAAAGGATAGAAATCATGTAAAGTGCAAGAAAATAATATTATGAAGTTTAAACACTTCCTTCTTCCCCTTTCCCCAACACTAACACAACTGTTTCTGTGTAACATGATTTTTGATTACTCAAATTTCTCAGGAATAGTCAATCACTGTATTTTAGAAGATTGAGGCTACATCCAGGGACTGATGAAGCTAGGAATCGTTATAAGCCACCTGCCACAGAGCCTAAAGTCTAGCCATGTTAAACATCCCAGCATTTTTACCTGCCTTCCAGATTTTTAGACTTAAGTTGTTGTTCTCCTTCCTTTATTTGTTCTTCTAGCATCTTTATTCTGGCTTCTCTCTGCTCTGGAGTTTCTTGACCGAAGAGCTGGGTAGTCACTCCCTTCAAAGAAAATGTTCTCACAGTCTAAAATGAAACAGAAACAGATGAATGGATAAATAACATCCATACACTGAAATATTTTTCAGTCTTAAAAAGGAAGAAAATTCTGACACACGCTACAATATGGATGAACCTTGAGGACACTGTGCTAAGTAAAATAAGCCAGTCACAAAAAGACAAATACAGTACAAGTCTACTTACATGAAGTATCCATACTAGTATAACTTACAGAGACAGAAAGTGGAATGGTGACTGCCAAGGGCAAGGTGACGAGGGAAATTAATAGTTGATATTTAATAAGTACAGAGTTTCAATTTTGCGAGATGAAGAGTTCTGCAGGTTTGCTGTACAACAATGTAAATGAACTTACTACTACTGAACTTGAAAAATGGTTAAAATAATAAATGCTATGTTCTGTATATTTTACCACAAATTTTTTTTAAAGAGGACATAGTCATTTTCCCCCTACCTCAGACAGAACACCACAAACCATACAACCAAGGGGCTACTATTAAGGCTTTTAATACTAGAAAATGTTGAAGAATCAAAAAAGGAAAAATTTTAACTGAGCTTCTTCATCATATAGAAAACTTCCAGGTGAAATACTAGGCAAGTTATTTATGTCAGCAGTCATATTTTTTCAATTATTCTGTGATCATAAAAAATGGATAAAATTCAACAGGCAACAACGACAATAAACCAAACTGAAAAAACCATTTAAAATCTGCATAATTCACACTAAAACTTGGTTATCTATTAATAAAACAGAATGACTAAACCCAAGCCTCAAACGTCACCATCTCTTCACTCTCTGGAATTTACTGAAGGAAACGCTTTTCCCTGCAAATGCAGGAGTAGAGAGCCAAGCTCCCTGAAAATGGACTGGAAATTTCCCCTGGATTTTAAAAATAAATCAAGCCAGTGTGTATCTGCTTCATGGTCAAAGGTCCTTCCCCATGTATCTTCATGTGGGTAGCCCACAAGCACTTGTAAAAGTAAAGTGAAGTTGCTCAGTCGTATCTGACTCTTGGCGACCCCATGGACTGTAGCCTACCAGGCTTCTCCATCCATGGGATTTTCCAGGCAAGAATACTGGAGTGGGTTACCATTTCCTTCTCCAGGAGATCTTCCCACCCCAGGGTTTGAACCCGGGTCTCCCACACTGTAGGGAGATGCTTTACCGTTTGAGCCAGCAGGGAAGTCAAGGACTTGTTAACTATGAAATGACTTATAAACAGTGGCACTGTCACTGCTTCATTACTTCCAGATTGTGTGCTCTCACCATGACAGCTTATTTATTCCAATGAAATAGCTGGACAATAGAAAGCTGATTATAAAAATTATCTAAGTCTAATATAGTCAGATACAAAATTTTCTTCACAAGTACTCACTGTAAGGATTCAAGAATAAAGTACACAAAAAGTTCTCTGTTAGGAGAGAGGCACTGATTCTAACAGGGCAAAGTTTTTCAAAGTTAACTAAAATTTCTACAATGTAAGTGATAAAATTAAACCATGCAAAGGTCATTATTTCAATCCCAAAGAATAATGGTTTTTTCCACTTAGACTTAATCAGAAAAGAGATGGTCCTTATTACACAGTGCAATCTGGCAAAATTTCTTGTAACGCTATATATGTTTTAATGGTTGCTTTTTTTTAAGACTTAATTTTTTAAATTTAATTTTACTTTTTGGCCACCACAACGCAGCATGTGGGACCTTAGTTCCCTGACCATGGATTGAACTCGTGCTCCCTGCAATGAAAGCACGTAGTCTTAACCACTGGACCATCAGGGAAGTCCCTAATGGCTTATATCTTTTTATGTTAAGATCACAACCAAAAGAATTATAAAGTTGTCCACAAATTACTCCCCTTTAAAAGCTACAGGCATCCTGCAGCCCATTTCACTTAAGGTTCGTTATAATAATACCACAGACCCAAATGGAAAATAGCTCACCCCCAGTTGCCAGTTCCTCACACTGCTGCTTCTTGGATGCTAGGTCCTGAGCAGCCATCTCTAAGTCATACTGCATAAGTTCATGTTTCCTGCACACAGCCCTAGGAAAAAAATTTAATTTTTGCCATTTAATTTTTGTGGCCTCTCTAATTATTAACATGTTAAATTTTTCCCCAGGGAGTAAAGTGGAGGCATTCACGTACTATGATCAGAAGTTTTATATATAGAATTTTTAAGCTTAAAATGTAGTAGCCCAACATTAAAATGTAGTAGCCCAGATGGAAAACAACCTTTTTTGATTTATAAAGTTTTTATGCTTAGGTTCTGCTAAATTAAATTTTTATCACATACATTTTTTAAAAAAGCTTTTTTTGTACAGCACTGGAACTAATGCTATCATCTCACATAACAACTGAATATTGTTTAAAAAGATTATCTCAAAGTTTTCTATTGAGAAATGTCTATTAGTTTTCATTATCATAAAAGTAATCCATGCTCACTAAAAAAAAAAAAAAAAGATTCTAATACAGGAATGTACTAAATAAGTTTCAAGAACACTTTCTTCTCCCTAGTTCTACTATCCAGACACAATTCATATTAATAGGTGGTATATATTGTTCTAGACTTTAACTAGGCATTTCTGAACTATATACCAAGGACACATTTCTTTATCAATATACATTCATCTTTTCTATAATCTTTAAGAGTTGCAAAGAATTCCATTGTGTTGAGCAACCTTCCTTTGGTAAAAGCCTGGTGTGACCTCTACTACTCAAAGCTCTAGAAGGAAAAAGGCTAACAATGTGATGTTTTCATCCCAGCTACTGAACAGCCAAAGGAATATTGTTCTTCTGTTTTATTAACAGAATTCTTACAATGATGTTAAAAGTGGCAGGAAAATGATTCACTTTTCTAAACTGGAATATCTCCCAGAGAATTCTGTTTGGCCCTGTAGGAGATACCACAAACACAGAAGACAAAGTCCTGACATTAAGAAATTTTACAATCTTACTAAGGAGATAAAATATGCAGGTATGGAAACGTCACAGAATTTAAAGGTAATATACAATCTAATGACAGATCATGATAACACACACTCAATGTGTACTTTGCTTCCAATCTCCAAGCTGGAAAAAGCAGAAAGAACAACATACAGACAGCCCTGAAGTCAGAGACTAACAGGTTTTATCAATATAATGTTTCAAATATAGTGACAGTGTTAAGTCGCTTAGTCATGTCCAACTCTTTGTGACCCCATGGACTGTAGCCCTCCAGGCTCCTCTGTCCATGGGATTCTCCAGGGAAGAATACTGGTAGGTTGCCATTTCCTTCTCCAGGGTATCTTTCCAACCCAGAGATCGAACTAAGGTCTCCTGCATTGCAGGCAGACACTTTATCATCTGACCACCAGGGATCAGGGTTGTCTTAAATTCCTACATATACACCATGGAATATTACTCAGCCGTTAAAAAGAATTCATTTGAATCAGTTCCAATGAGATGGATGAAACTGGAGCCCATTATACAGAGTGAAGTAAGCCAGAAAGATGAAGAACATTACAGCATACTAACACATATATATGGAATTTAGAAAGATGGTAATGATAATCCTATATGCAAAACAGAAAAAGAGACATAGATGTACAGAACAGACTTTTGGACTCTGTGGGAGAAGGCGAGGGTGGGATGTTTCGAAAGAACAGCATGTGTATTATCTATAGTGAAACAGGTCACCAGCCCAGGTTGGATGCATGAGTCAAGTGCTCGGGCCTGGTGCACTGGGAAGACCCAGAGGAATTGGGTGGAGAGGGCCGTGGGAGGGGGGATCGGGATGGGGAATACATGTAACTCCATGGCTGATTCATGTCAATGTATGACAAAACCCACTGAAATGTTGTGAAGTAATTAGCCTCCAACTAACAAAAATAAATGAAAAAAAAAAAAAATTTCCTATGTCTAGCACTCTGCAACAGATAGGAATACAGTGAGATCTCATTCAATATCTAGGGGAAGGAATTCATTTAAAAATCACCTTATGCTCTTTATTTTAGAGTAACAGATGAAGAGAGTGTTGACCAGCCATAGGACTGCATCTGGAACATGTATTATACTTACCGCAATGCTTCTGCATAAAAAAGATACTCCTTTAACTGATCCGCATAATGTTCTTCATCTTCCAAAATATCATCAATAGAAGATGCATATCTGTTTAAAAAATAATGTATATAGTAACTTTTATCAAGACACAAAATATTAATATTCTAAAGAGGAGCTATTCAAAGCATAGTCCACTGACCATTTGCTACCCATGAATGACCAAAGTACAAAAAATCTGAATAAGCTTTTAGAAACATTTATAGCAACTTTTTAATTGAAGTATACTTGATTTGCAATACTATGTTAGTTTCAGGTATATAGCAAAGTGATTCAATTACATATTTCTTTCTTTCAAATTTTCCATTATAGGTTATTACAAGATATTAAATATAGTGCCCTGTGCTATACAGTATGCCCTTGTTACTTATTTTATGTAGTTTGTGCCTGTTAATCCCACACTCCTAATTTATCCCTCCCGCCAACAGCAATCCTTAATTACCATGACAATTCTACGGAATTTTACCAAAATGTGTTTAGCAAGGGCTTGGTGATAAAGCCCTTGCTTTTTAAAAGAACAAAGCAAACAAAAAAATTGTCCTTCTTAAGGTAGCTTAATGAGCACTGTAGTATCTTTTGTTAAATGTAGTATAAAAAGGGCTACAAAATCTGTAGAAAGAATAAGAATTTAGTATAATTGAAGAATTTAGTATCCCCTGATAGCAACTACATAAAGTCAAAAAGCTACAGAAGGAACAGTTGAGCAAATAAAGATCACAGAAAATTTTAGAAGCGTTATTTTACTCTAATTCTCAGTAGCAACCTCTGCTTTGATCTGGACAAGTCCCTCACTGTTGTGCCATTCTTGTTCTGAGTCTTCCTTTGCACACAACTATAGCGGCTCTCCATACTGCCTTTCCAAATCCTCAACACCTCTAGAAATCTCCCCAGAGATTTCTTGTTCATCACTCTACTTCTGATCTCTTGTCAAAAACTGAGAACTTAAATCTTATCAAAGAAATGTCTCTTACAGGTATACGCATTACTGAGTCCCTACACTGTTCACCTCAAACTCTCAGAACACTGTTTGTTAATCGGCTATACTCCAATACGAAATAAAAAGTTTAAAAAAAAAAGAAATGTGTTGTGTTGGTTTTCTCTGATCACCAGGGCTTTCCTCGTGGCCCAGATGGTAAACAATCTGCTTGCAACACAAGAGACCCAAGTTCAATCCCTGGGTTGGGAAGATCCCCTGGAGAAGGGAATGTCTACCCGCTCCAGTATTCTTGCCTGGGCAATTAGATGGACAGAGTCCATGGGGTGCAGCCTATGGGGTCAAAAAGAGGTGGACACAACTGAGCAACAACACTTTCTCTGATCACATTATAAATTCCTAAGGACATGGGCTATGTCATTTATTATTTCTGTAGGGTATAAGTAGCATTCTTTTTTCAAATTAATTCTGATTCCTTAGCATGGGCATAAAAGAAAAATATACTTTATGTCTCCAAGCCTGCTTCTACATGTAGTTAAGTAAACAAGTTTACTGAATTAAAAAATAAACAAAAAATCTAAGTTAATGCTCACTGAAAAGCAACATGCTTATAGTATTTATGAAAGTAGGCAAAATACATATTCTGTAAATATAAATTTACATTTGTGAGAGTGTGGACTTTGTCCTATGTGACTGAAAAATGTCTTGAGAATGTTGTTAAGAGTAGGAATAACTGTCTGTAGTTCATAAATCTACGATTCTGGAGAAGTTAATGTTAAGAAAACAAAAAAGAAGGTAAGCGGCTGGTGGCTTGAAGATAGGAAACACAGTGTGGATAAAGAGGCAAGTGGTAAAGATGTTTTAGATATTAGTACTAAAACTAATTTTATTTAACATTTACATAAACCAAGTGAAGGGATAATCCCAAATTCCTGCAAATACTGAGACTGTCCTGTCAACAGAATGCATGAAGACAACAAAATAGTTGAAAAGCAGCTGGTCAGCTTAAACAATAATCCAAAGAAAAATGATATTTAAATAAAATAAATATTTTTGTCTCTTTGTTGATCAGTTGTAGGAGTTCTTTATATATTTTGGTTGGAAATGTTTGCTCCCAGTCTGTGGCTTGCCTCTTCACCATCTTAATGGGGTGTGTTTTTGTGTGTGTGGTAAAATGTAACGTAAAATTCACCTTTTTAACAATTTATTGGTGTATATAGTTCAGTGGCTTTGAGTACTTTCATGCTGTTGTGCAACCATTACCACCATTCATCTCCTGAACTTATCTTCCCCAACTGACTATACTCCTACATTCCTTCCACTTACAACAGAATTTTTTGATAAGCCAAATTTTTAATTAATTTTCTGTGTTTTTTGGCACAACATGTTCCCTACCCAGGGCTCAAACCAGTGCTCCCTGCACTGGAAGCAGGCCGTCTTTCCTGCTGGACGATCAGGGAGATCCCCAAATTCTAATTTTGAAGAACAATTTACCATTTTTAAAAGATTGTTTTTCCTTTCATGTCCTTTAAAAAAAATCTTTTGCTTACTCGAAGGCTGCTAAAATATTCTCCTATTTTCTACTAAAAGCTGTAGTTTAAGGTTTTATATTGATGTATATCATCCAAATTGAATTAGCATTTATGTAAGATATGAGATATGGCTCAAGGTTCCTTTTTTTTTAAATGATTCACTTTTTAAAAAAATTACTCATTTTCAACAGAAAAAATAAAATTTATACAGAAAAAATCCTGTTAACTGCTAATAAAGACAGTTTTCCATCTTCCTTTCTATGCTGGGTCTTTGTTGCTGCATGGGTTTTTCTCTATGTGCAGAGAGCGGGGGCTACTCTCCAGCTGCAGTGCATGGGCTTCTCGTTGCAGGGCACGGGCTCTAGGGAATGCATACTTCGGTAGCTGCAGTATATCGGCTAAGAAGTTGTGGCTCCTGGGCTCCAGAGCACAGTCTCAGTAGTTGTGGCGCAGGGACTTAGCTGCCGTGTGGCATGTGGGCTCTTCCGGGAGCAGGAGTTGAACCGGTGGCTCCTACATTGTCAGGAGGACTCTCTAATGCTGATTCAAAAGGGAAGCCCTCAAGGTTTAGTTTTTTCTTCCTATGAAGATATCCAGTTATTCTAGAACCATTCTTGAAATGAGCTATGTAAATGTAGATCTATTTCCGAATTCTACCCTATTCCATGGATCTGTTTATCTCAATATTGCCTGATAACTATAGCTCTATAGTAAGTCTTGAAATCAGGTAATACATTCAACTTTGTCCTTTTTTTCAAGACTGTTTTGACTACTTCATGTTCTTTGAATTTCTACCTACATTTTCAAATCAGCTGATTAATTTCTATTAAAACTTACTGGAGGTTTGATTGGGACTGTCATTTAGGAAGAATGCTCAGATTAACACTACTGAGTCTTCCAATCTATGAACATGGTTTAATCTCACCTTTTATTTAGGTATTTAGTTTCTCTCAGCAATGTTTATATATAAAGTTTTCAGTGTAGACGTCTTCCACACTATTATAAACAGCATTTTTAAGCTTTTATTTTCTAATTTTACTAGTATGCAAAAATGTTCTTTTCATATATTCATTATGTATCATGCATTCTCATTAAACTCAGCTGTAAGCTCTACAGTATTTTTGGTTGACTATTTTCTACAGAAAAATCCTGTTGGAAGGAGCCAAGATGGCGGACGAATAGGACGGGGAGACCACTTTCTCTCCTACAAATTCATCGAAAGAACATTTGAATGCTGAGCAAATTTCACAAAACAACTTCTGATCGCTAGCAGAGGACATCAGGTGCCCAGAAAAGCAGCCCACTGTCTTCGAAGGGAGGTAGGACAAAATATAAAAGATAAAAAGGGACTCAGGAGAGCTACGGACGGAGACCCGTCCCGGGAAGGGAGTCTTAATAGAGGAAATTTCCAATCACCAGGAAACCCTCGCACTGGCGGGACTGGGGGAAGTTTTCGGCAATCTAACTGGGAGGAAAAATTAAACAAGGCCCACAGATTACGTGCCTAAAAGCAACTCCCAGCAGAAAAGTACCCCAGACGCCCATACCCGCCAGCAACAAGCGGGGGCGGGACGGAGAGGAGCGGGCGGCATTGCTTAGGGTAAGGACCGGCCCGAAGACCCTGAGAGCAATCGGAGGGAGCTTTTTTAAACTGTGGGATAGCAAGGGTCAAAATTAACAGGCCCGAACACACTGCCGGCGGTTGGCAAAACAAAGGGACTGAGAAAGTCCAGAGAAGAGCCGGCCCATCCCCGCTGGAGGTTGGAGGCAGGGCCGAGGGGAAAAGGGCAAACTCAGCCCCAGAGAAGCCACCCCCTCCCACCCTGCAAACAGGCCCCCGGTTCCTATCTAAAGACTTCTGAGACCCGACTGGCGGTGCGCGCTGGGGCCGCGGAGGGAAAAAGCGCGCCGGACCCGGGGAGAGTGCGCCCAAGCCTCTGGCTGCCTGAGCTGCCCGCCGCGGAGGGAAAAGGCGCGCTGCACCCAGCGAGAGTACGCCCAAGCCTCTGGCTGCCTGAGCCGCTCACCGCGGAGGGACAAGGCGCGCCGTACCCGGGGAGAGTGCGCCCAAGCCTCTGGCTGCCTGGGCCGCTCAGGCCGGGGAAGGCACAAAACGCAGGCGCAACCGAATCTGCGCTTTTGTGGAGTACCTGAAAACTGGAACCGCACTCAACGCAGGGCCCGCTCCATATAGAGCAGCCGGGAGCCTGAGCAGTGTAGACGGCGAAAGCACTGACACCCGTGAGTGGGGCAAACCCAGTGTGACCGGAACACGGTGAGTGCTATCCACACAGAGCGGTATCTGTCTGCAGCGCCCCGCCCTCCCCGTAGCAGGACTAAACTGAACTGGAGAACCTAAATAAGAGATCACCTCCACCCGCCTGTGTCAGGGCGGAAATTAGACACCAAAGAGACGGCAAACAGAAGCCAAATAAACAAAGGGAACCGCTTCAGAAAGGACTGGTGCAACAGATTAAAATCCCTGAAGGTAACACCGACTACACAGGAAGGGGCCTACAGATATCGAGAAGTGTAAGCTGGAAAGAGGAGCTATCTGAAATGGAACTGAACCTATACTAACTGCAACAACTCCAGAGAAATTCCTAGATATATATATATATTTTTTTTTAATTAAAAAAAATTTTTTTTCTCCCTTATTAATTTCTTTTATTTTTTCTCTTTTATTTTCTTTTAAAATTCCCTATTACTCCCCCATTAGTCCTCAACTTTCATTTTCATATATTTTTACGATTTTTTTATTTAGGGAAAAAAGTGTTTTTTTCGTTTTTCTCTTCTATTTCCTTTCTATTTTCTATTTCTAACCCTATGTGCAAAACAGAAAAAGAGACTCCTATGTATAGAACAGACTTGTGGACTCTGGGAGAAGGCGAGGGTGGGATGTTTCAAGAGAACAGCATTGAAACACGTATATTATCTAAGGTGAAACAGATCACCAGCCCAGGTTGGGTGCATGAGTCAAGTGCTCGGGCCTGGTGCACTGGGAAGACCCAGAGGGATTGGGTGGAGAGGGAGGTGGGAGGGGGGACCGGGATGGGGAATACATGTAAAAAAAAAAAAAAGATACACTATGGTTGTGATAAAAAAAAATAAATAAATAAATTTAAAAAAAAAGAATAATAAAAAAAAAATAAATAAAAATTAAAAAAAAAAAATTATCTTTTGCTTTGCAGACTCATATAGATTCAAGAATTACAGTTCTTATGCAAAAAGCTGATTAGAGCTAACTGTTGTTTATTATAAAAGTTTGTATAATGCATACCTGAAAACTCGCCCGTAATTCCCATGTACTTTATACACACCATATAGTCGATCTGCTACTCTCTGGAAGAAATATTCAAAAGAAATTGCTATTAGTTATAAACCGTTCACTGTTTATAAGTTATAAACAGATTACTAAAAATACATTTTATCTTCATTAAAAAATACAAATGTATACTTAGTACAACTTGAAAAATATGCAAAAAAAAAAGAGCTTAAATCTCCCAAAGTCTCATCATGGGGGAAAAAACTAATGTTGTCATCATATTTATATAATTTTTTCATATATATATGTACATATATATATGTTTTAATTAACATTTTAAAATTTCCTATACCAAGAGTGCTAATATTTTTATCCAGCAGGTTAATATTATTTTTAATAGATACCAGTTAAAAAAATAGATGCATAAAATTTCACCTAGTGGTATATAAATTATATAGACAGTCCTTGTCAGGTACTCAGTTATCCCTAACTTTTTTCTGTATTAAATAAGCATTCTCTGAGAGTACAGCTTTTTCCAAATTTCAGACTGCTTCCTTAAGATAAAAGTCCCCAAAGAGGGATCTACCAGGGAAGAGAATATAAACATTTTCAATTGTATTATTGATAGTTTTATACATAAATGCTACACACATGCAATATACTTCCTGTGCTATTTTATCAAATTGATGCCTTCTAACCATTTAATAACAGTAGAATTACAGTTTAGCTCACTGAGATTAAAACACATACCACCCCATCATTCACACACATCTTGCAAAAGACAAAAAACACTGTGTGTGGTAATCTCCTTTCTTCAAAGTGTTATGGACATGAAATAGAAGACCAGAAGTCAATGCCACATAAAACTCTTTAAAAAAAATTTCTAGTATACAATTTCTCAATGTAAATCCTGAAGATGAACTGCCCCTCTAACTCCTTACTCAGTTCAGTTCAGTTCAGTCACTCAGTCATGTCCGACTCTTTGCAACCACATGAACCACAGCATGCCAGGCCTCCCTGTCCGTCACCAACTTCCAGAGTTTACCCAAACTCATGTCCATTGAGTCAGTGATGCCATCCAACCAACTATCTCATCATCCCTTCTCCTCCTGCCCTCAATCTTTCCCAGCATCAGGGTCTTTGCAAATGAGTCAGCTCTTCGAATCAGGTGGCCAAATTCCTTACTCAAATATGAGTAATTTGAGGAAACAGGCATTAGCCATACAAATCTTAACCTGTTCAACACTTCAGCTTAAAAGTCAGTAAACCACACTGTAAAACTCGGAGCTGGTACAAGAGGATCATAAAGTGCTTTCCATCTCTCCTTGACCTGCTATGAAAAAACACACACCTGCTAGATGAGGGGACAGCACACTACTGGTCTACAGCTAGTTTCTGTGTAGTCTTACTAGAACAGTCATACTCACTCACGTTAGCACTACCTATGGCTGCTTTCACAGCAGAGTTGAACAGCTTCAACAAGGGCCATACGACCCAAGCAGGTGAAAATAATTACTATCTGGCCTTCAGAAAAAGTCTGCCAACTCCTGTACTAGACTCCATTTCCAGTACAAAATTCACAGTCTTTACTATGCTTGAAATTTTTCAGGGTTGTCCGCAGACCTCTAAACTAGTTACTCTGGGACGTTATTTCCCAATTATTTTTTGAGAGTCCTACAGAGTGTTGACTGGTTGTTTAAATGGGTTCCATTGTTAAATAAATTTTGGAAACAATGAGATTTAAAGTTTAACAGGTTGTTGTGGTTTTTTTTTTCTACCTGACTTTTTAGATCTTTAACACTATATATGAATACGGACTACTCAGAGGGCGTGATTTGCAGTAGGGACCATCTAATAGGACTAGCATTCTGAAGATGACAAAATGGAAAATGCCATTCTAAACTACTAACTTTTCTAGATTCTTATACTTTGAAAAATCAAACCTCCTCCTGAAAGCTGAGCATTTTATCATCTACCTAAGATACAAAGCATGGAAAAGAGGGAAAGAATTTGTTAAATAACCACATAAGTATAAAAACTAGAGCAACTTAAATACAAAATACATATCCAAAATAAACGTGCAAGAAAAAGTTTTTGAATCCCAGGTGTTTAAAAGTTTTGGTTTTTTTCTTTAAATTTTATCACTCCGTGCAGCAGATAACAAAAAAAGCTTCAATCATAATAATTAGAGCTCTGGAAAATACTCTAGTCCACAGAGCATGACAAAAAGAGGCAAGAGTTCTCATACGCCAGAAAGATGAGCAACTACACAAGGAACCACTCTACTAGAGAATGAGGCAACACAGAGCCACTCAGCAGTTGTTACTGAACCAGCAGTGATGTTTCTGCTATCAACTACTCATGGAAGTAAATTGTGCTAGCCAGCTAAAACACGAGATGACTAGTACCCAGATCATCAGGCAGTGAGAAAAAAGATGAAGCAAAGAAAAACTATAGACCAAAGATGAGCATTTCTACAGAAAAGTAAAGATAAAGATGGCCAGGAAATAAATCATGAATTATTAAAACCTATGGCTCAGTGGTAAAGAATTCACCTGCCAATGCAGGAGACACAGGAGATGTGGGTTCAATCCCTGGATCAGGAAGGTCCCCCTGGGAAGGAAATGGCAACCCATTCCAGTATTCTTGCCTGGGAAGTTCCATGGACAGAGGAGCCTGGGGGGCTACAGTCCATGGTGTCACAAAAGAGTCAGATGCAACACAGGGACTAAACAACAACAAAACCAGATTAATTCAATGGTCACTGGTAATCAAGAATCGTGGTGCCAGGGAAAAGGGGCTAGACCCAATGATTTAGTCTAGACTGCCACTCAATTTCAATTCTGTTGACAAGTCTTTCTTTTTGAAAACTGATCATCTTAACAACTGACAGGAGAGGACTGACACCTAGCAAATAATATGACAACAGAAGAAACCTGACAGACTCATCATATCATCCTCCCCAGCTCTGAATCATTTGGATCTATGCTAAGAATGCCTTCCCTATCCATACTGAAGTAGTAACAGATTAAATGTTAAAAAGGACATAAAGTTTTATGACAGTCTATTAAATGATCTTACTTTAAAAATCTGGACACATAGTTTTTCTTCTGAAATTACCTCCTAAGGAGGCAATGATCATGGAATTTAAGACTCATGACACTACTGCTAAAATCTTTCCCAAAGGAGTTGTAAGACTTTACATTGCCATCACCGAATATTTCATAAACACTACATATTGCTATCTATACAAATGACTACAAATTAAATGTTAAATAGTAGCTCAATAATTTCAGCTTACACAGTTAGCATATTAGCAAAGTTAAGCAATCCTCCTTCCCTTCTAAATTTGATTTCCCCTAGAGAGGCAGCAAATATGATTATAAGAAAAAAGGGATTTGCTTCCTAATCTATAAACTGGGGACAGTCACAGCACCTACTTTCAAAGGGCCACTGTCAGAATTAGGTAAAAATAACATACCATGGTTGGCTTACATACAACAGTAAAGATAATAAATATTAGATCAGTTCAGTTTAGTTCAGTCCTCAGTCATGTCTGACTCTTTGCGACCCCATGGACTGCAGCACACTAGGCCTCCCTGTCTATCACCAACTCCCAGAATTTACTCAAACTCATGTCCATCGAGTCGGTGATGCCATCCAACCATCTTCATCCTCTGTCATCCCCTTCTCCTCCTGCCTTCAATCTTTCCCAGCATCAGGGTCTTTTCCAATGAATCAGTTTTCTGCACCAGGTGGCCAAAGTATTGGAGTTTTAGCTTCAGCATCAGTCCTTCCTATGAACACTTAGGACTGATTTCCTTCAGGATGGACTGGTTTGATTTCCTTGCAGTCCAAAGGACTCTCCAGAGTCTTCTCCAACACCACAGTTCAAAATATTAGATATTAGTATTTTTTCCTTTTGTTTTAGTTTATGAAACATGGATGATCTCATCCGATTATCACAACTCTATGAATAACACACTCACTCATGTCACAAAAATTTATGCAGTACCTACTGTGTACAAGGCAGATACTCTCCAAGAAAACAAACTCTAAAAGGTCTCTAGATTTGCCTGAAAAACTTAGTAAACGGCAGACACAAGTGTTAACTCCAGCTCCTCTCAATTTAAGACTACCCACCCTTTCTGGTTGTTCTGTTTTTAATATCTTAAATATTAACTCTTTAACCTGTAAGTCATTTATTTTTCACCTTTTCTATCAAGACTTTCAAAAGAATTTTTCCCAACAGAAAAGACAACCAAATAATTGTATTTTCTCTTTATCTGTTAACAAGTCATCATGTCTCCAACAGTGTCTAAAGCCTTCTTCTCCTGACACTGAATGTTACAAAAAGGCTCTCCCTGTGGCAATCTCTATGTTGTTTTCAGGATTCTGTCAAGTGTTGGGCTCTAACCTTCCATTTTTAACTTTTATGTTATTGTCAATGATTAAAGAGCCTTTTTCCTAATTCTAGAACAATCAAGATTTCAGCTATTCCATATTTTTCACTGGCATTTATCTTATTTACACAGTCAAAATCTCAATCTGACTCACAGATCAAGTGCTGTCTTTCCTTTGAAGCGCTCAAGCAGTCTTTAAGGTCAATTAAGTTTCTGAAGCCTGTTTTCATAAAGTCTAGGGTAAATATCTAGACCCAGAATTCTCTTACTTGTATAGTACAAGCTCTTTGATGACAAGGTCATTTTCTTTAGAAGTTCCTGTCATATATACCTTACTAACCAGCTCCCCTTGGCTGGTTATAGTTAAGTTCAAGAAGCAATTTATCTTACTGCTTTTCAAGATTTTTTTAAACATAAAACTGTCAGCACATACATTTATTTATTCATCCATTCAATGAATACATAGTGGGTGCTATTTGAGTCAGACATTATTCTCAGGATTCAGCAGTAAGAAAACAAAGCTCCTGCTCTTGCGAGCTCACATATATACTAGTAGAGGAAATAATTAACAGTTCAGAATGACAGAAAATGACAGAAACAATAGAAACCTGCACCGCATTTTATATAGGATGCTCAGGAAAGATAATTTCTCTCAAGAGGTATTTGAACCAATAACTGAACAACAAAAAGAATAAGCCAAGAGGATCGGCGGTAGGCATGGGGGAAGAATGGTACAGGCCCAGGAAACAGCAAATAAAAGACCAGAAACAAGCTTGGCATGGTTAAGAATAGTTAGAACAAGGCTAAAACAAAGTGCCGCAATGTTTAGTCACTAAGTCATGTTCTTCTGCAACCCCATGGACTGTAGCCCACCAGGCTCCTCTGTCCATGGGATTTCCCAGGCAAGAATGTTGGAGTGGGTTGCCATTTCCTTCTCCAGGGGATCTTCCCAAACCAGGGATCGAACCCTAGTCCCCTGCACCTCTCCTGCATTAGCAGGCAGATTCTTTACCACTGAGTCATGAGGGAAGCCCTCAAAATGAAATGTACAAAGTACTGAAACAGCTGTGTGCGAGACTCAAAATTTTCTGTAACATCACTATTACATTTTATCATGATCTCTAAAGATCATTAAGTATTAATCACATTCAAAAATATACTTTCAGCAGAAAGCCAAATATGATCACTGGATATCCTACCTTGACTGTGATAATTTTCTTACTCGCTTTATGAGAGCAATCACCCATACCTTCTTGCAGGCTAGATGATCTGCAGCACAGCTTCACAACAGTGATGACAGTTATTTCCTCCCTCCTCTAGATCTCATTCAAACTTATTCCCTACACTTTACAGATTTTCTGGGTTTTAACTGTTACACTTTGTTCAATTCACCACTCATCACTGACACTTCTGCAAAATCTGACTATGGTTGGTTTTTCTGCCTTTTCCCTTTGTTTCTTCTGGATGTGAACGACTGCTTGAGAACCTCTCAATACCTGGAGCTGGTCACGTGCCTGCTTTAACAGCGTGCCTCTGCCCACCCAAGACCCCCAGCACTGTCCAGCTTCCTGCGGCATGACACCTTCCACAGGGTGCCCCCTCTTCCCTTTGGTGGAAGGTCTTTCAGAAGGATACAGCTTTCATAATCAGCCAGACCTCTAATTTAAGTAAATTCTCCAGGTTTTTTGACAGAGAAGACAAAACAATATGAAGGGTTCTTCCAGTCTTCTGGGGTGTCTCTGACCCCATCTTCACTTTCCATTAAGAACTGTTGCCTTATTTGTTTAGGTAACTTCAAAGCAACTAGAGGCCTAGAAATTTTATCTCATCAATTCACGAGTCCTTTTCAATACCCCATTCTTGACTCTACCCTAATAATTCTCATAGGTACCTTTTTCTTTTCCTACAAAGTATCTTACAATTTACATAAAGAGTCCTATAGTACTCTGGATGGTTACACAGATTGGGCCAATATGAGGATACTTCAAAAAGAGTGTTCCCTTACTTTATATTTTTATACTTTTTATGAAATCTTCAAACATACAGAAAGTAGAGAATAGTAGGATATACCCCATTTCCCAACACTTAACCATCAACAATTATCATATGGCCAATTAAGTTGCATCTAAAGTTGACCCCACTCTGCACCCTTTACCAGCAGACTCTTTCATTAAAACAAATCCCAGATAATATATTTCATTTCAAGATGATTCCAATGAGTGTAAGATATGATCCCAGACCTGGTAACTCAGTGTCTTTCAAAGCCTTTAAGACCAGTTCTAAGGTTTTCTCTAGGTTACCCCAAAGGACCAGAGTGGATGATACAACATTTTTCAGATACTACATTAATCCACCCAAAAATATATTTCTCCATGTCTATTACAGCCAAACTCTACAGGTAAGTACAATCATCACTGGTATATTTCTAGTTCCTCATGTCATAGCAGACCATTACCCTACATAAGTTTATTTAGGATAATATAAGAGCACAGACACAGAATGACTTAATATTAACTATTTACCAACCTTAAAAAAAAATCTTGAAAGAAAAAAAGAATAGGTAGATCAAAGTCACACAATTATATTCAATGCTAAAATGGCAGGCCCTTTGATAAATGTTTGTCAAAACAACCATATACTAAGGGGAAAAAAAAAAACAAGAAACCATACAAAGACTACAGAGAAAACAATAGGTTAAAATTCTTTAAGTTATCTATGCCAGAAAAAATTTCACAATTAAAAAAAATGCAATTTAGGTGAATAACACACCAAATTTGAATATAAAAATCAGTTATTCATCATAAATATCTTCCATTACTTAAAAACATAATGATTAAATGAGAAGCACTTCCATAAAAACACCTGTCAAAAAGATTCTGGTGACCACTTACAGCTCTGACTCGAAGGAGATGTGAGATGACAGATTGGAGTTCATCACTATAGTGTTTTAGTTCAATAAATCTCCTGAAATAGGAAACAAAACATCATTTTTTTCATGAAAAGCAGTCAAAAACTGAAAGACAAAACAGCAGTTCCTGAGAATAATGAGACTGACTCTATTTAACCATATGCTAGCCTTAAACATTTACACACTGATACAAACTCAAAAAGTTCTAAAATTACTACTACAATATTATAAAGTAATTAGCCTCCAACTAATAAAAATAAATGAAAAAAAAAAGAGCTCTTAAATTAAATAACCACATTTTCTTTAGATATTTTTAAAGCCAAGGAAAGATGTCATACTTTATAATTAATACCGTGGAACTGAGATACAGATAAAATTTGTTGGTATGAAAAATTACTTGGGAAAAAAAGAAAACAGGAGAAAATTTATGGTGCTAAAAAAATCTTTTGGTATAAACATAAACTCATGATCTCGAACCCTAATCTTCATGCTGCTCAGTAATCTTTGTTTCTATAATCTAATACCTGCCATTCTCCGTAACGACCTGAAACTTCATATAACACTGCTCTTCCAGCAATGTAACAGCTTACTTCACCCTCCTCAAAAACTTATTTCCTTGACATCATTGTTAATTTTTCCTTTTACTCTCTGGTCACTCCTAAAGTCTCCTTTGCAGGACTGACTTCCTTCACCAATCTCTTATACTGTCAACTTTAATGTGCAAAAGACTCCTAAAATATTTGCCAGAAACACAACTGAGGGCCTCAGTAAAAGAAGGCATGAGTAATCACCATAACTGTACACAGAGGCCCTAGTGGGACTCAGGAATCTGAATTTATAACAAACTCACTCACAGGGTTCAGATGCTGGTAATCTTCAGATTATACTATGGAAAACACCCTTCAAGCACTGGTTTCTTTAGAGTTCAGCCCTAGGTCCTTGCCCATATTACAACCAATCATTTGGTCTACATACTCTATGTGCGTGCATGCGGGCCAAGTCACTTCAGTTGTGACTGACTCTTTGCGACTCTATGGACTCTAGCCCACCAGGCTTCTCTGTCCGTGGGATTCTCCGGGTAAGAATACTGGAGTTGGTTGCCATGCCCTCCTCCAGAGGATCTTCCTGACCCAGGGATCATCCTGGGTCTCCTGCAATGGTAGGCAGGTTCTTTACCCCTAGCGTCATGTGGGAAGCCTGTACTCTATGTGACTTATTCACAAAGCTTCACGATTATGATCTACATGCTGCTGAACTCCAAATATCTATCTCCAGCCCAAAACTCTCTCCAAAATGCTCTATCTATAATGCCAACTGGCTAGCAGATATTAGTAGCTGCTTACATATCCAAAGTTCAACTTATCTTCCCCTATCCCATCAAATCTCTCTCCTCTGTACTCCCTAGCAGTTTAAAGAATGAAACCTAGGTGTCACCTGTATTTCCTTCTCCTCTCTTTCATCCCATACATTCTATTAATCACTTGGTTTACCTCCTAAATATCAGCCAAATACTGCCACAAGGAAGTAGAAGACTCAAGGTCCTCCTCCTCACTACTTTGAACAGTCTAAAGAAAAATATCCAGCTAATAAAAATAAATGAAAAAAAAAAAAAGGAAAGAAAAATAAACGTGCATGAAGGAGGTATTATTTTGGTATTCCCTCTGAAACTCTTTCTGGTTTTCTAGATTTTAAGAAAGAACAGAAAGAAAGTGTTTTAGTGATATAAACTATTTTAGTAGTACTATGAATAATAACTAATCTACTGGGCCAGCTAGACCTAGAACAGAGATTCTATATATTAAAAATCTGTTACAACAATGACCGATACAGATAATTCTCTAATCTAAAACTTAAGGCAAACAAATTCTATTACTAATTATATACTTTAACAAGAAATTAGGAGCAAATAACTGCCCTGGTTATGTTATTGGCCGTATCACATTTAAAATTCTATAATATGGATATTAAATAAAATTTAGCAAACTAGAAAAGATGGTAGGTCAGAAAAGGGAAGACAAACATACAATTGACATTTTTTAAAAAAACACTTGACTAACAGTAGCATTAAAATATTAAATTGTCTCATTTACACGCTCCTGTAACGAATGTACATTCACCAATGTTGTAAACTCTGCCGCTTACATTTTCCAAAGCTTTTTTTGGAAGGTGACATGATTTTAGTTCTTAATCTAGACAACACTTCTTATATACTATGGATGTCTAACCTTTTAGTTCTTAATCTAGACAACACTTCTTATATACTATGGATGTCATAACCTTTATTAAAACCTCAGCGGAATCTTAAATGCATACTGTAAAGCAAATGTCTGTCTGAAAATGCCCCGTACTATGATACAACATTCTGGAAAAGGCAAAACTATGGAAACAGTAAAAAGATCAGTGGTTGTTAGGGTTATGGGAAGGAAGAGATAAAAAGGGAGAGCAAAGAGGATTTTTAGCACAGTGAAAATACTTTTCATAATACTATAATGATACATACATGTCATTGTACATGTGTCAAAATCCATACAATATATAACACCAAGGGTGAACCCTGATGTAAACTATGCACTTTGACAGGCATCATGATGAGTCAATGCAGGCTGATCAATCTTATCAGCCTGGTATCACGCTGGTAAGGGATAACAGGGGTGGCTGTGTGTATCCAGGAACAGCTGTTCAAGTGTAGGGGCAGAGGGGATATGGGAGCTCTGTATGATGTTTCACTTAGTTTTCCTAGGAACCTAAAACTACTCTAAGAAACAAAGTCTATTAAAAAAGTGAAAACCTCAATGGTTACCATCACAATTTCCTAATTACCAAAACTTTAAAATATTAATATTTACATCTTATATTCAAAAGTTATATTAAAAAGTAGAGGCATTACTCTAATGTGTTACGGTTTATGAAAATCAGCATAACAGGCTATTAGACTATGCAAATTTGGCCTTTGTCTGCTAAAAATGTACACTACGTAGAAGTTAAGGCTTGAAGGCCTGACTAGCGAACTTCTAACAGACCTCGTAAACTTGGTCTTTTAACTTGGGTTTTTCCAAGAACCCCATCTACCTAAGCACATTTCTAACTGGAAAGTACAGCTGAACTAAGCTTGAGGCAAAGGTCCGTATGATGAAGAGCCTGAATTATCTGCCAAATTCAAAGAATGAGCAAAACCAAATCTTAAATACCTAGATTCCACCCTTCGGAAAGTTATTTCTGAATACACAGCTTCATTAATATAGAAATGCTCTCACAAACTCCAAACTAACATTAATGAAGTCAGGTAACCATCATATAGATATAGTTCCATGAAATTATTGTACTAGTATGCATTTACTTATCAAGTTTTCTTGGCATTCAAAGTAGTTTGTTATTAAAATAGATAATATATTATCTTGAGTTTTGCACATATCTGACAAGCAAAGTCTAATAAGAAAACCTATTTTATATGAAATTAAAATTACTTTCCTCATTTTTCTGATACCTTCAATAACACTTAATAAATCCTTCCAGGAAAAAGCAGTGGTTTCATTTCCTAAAACTTCAGTTACTTACAACCTTAATCCCAATAAAATCATCAAATTTCAAAATCAGTTTTAGACTTTAAAAGGATTTCACTAATATGAATTTCTATTTAAAATATTTAGCAAATAAAGTGCATACATTCAGAAATGAAAAATTAAATAGATTGATAGGCACCATTCAAAACAACATTGTAACTGTTATTAAAACAAAACCTTACTTGTCTGGGTTTTTCACTCTGAATGTTGCATTAAGCGCTTTTAACCTGGAGTCTGCCTGGAAAAAATAATTTATTCACTTAATACAATTACATTTCAGGGTATAAATCCAAACAGTTTTATTTTCCCTTTAGAATTAAGCTATTCAAGTATACTTTTCTTCATATTATTTGTGTCAAACACATTAAACATATCCCAAAAAACACCTAGTAGTTATTTTTTTAAACACTGCAAAAATAATATTATAAATACATGACATTCAATGATACCAAAGTAAAACAACTGTAAATACCAACAGACAAGCAAGCATACAGCTCTGCATTATAATAACTCAGAATAGGTTGTGTCAAAAAGTAGTTTACTTTTTCTCTAAATCAAGAACAATGATCTGTATATATAAACTAAATAAAATTATTGCTTTGAAGCCTGTGCATTACTGACAGATTCTCAGATGGAACCTAAACCAAATGTACACTGGTTTTTCTCCTTTTCATGATCAGAATTTTAGAAAAGAAAGAAATATGAAAATGCCTGGACTAAATTAAAACAAGCTAGATGACATCAAACTAATTCCTTTTTAGCTGACATAAAACATTACAACACAACTCTTAAACAACCTTTACTTATTTCTAGATATTCTGACACAACTATTTAACTACCTTTACTTATTTCTGCTGCTGCTTAGTCGCTAAGTGGTGTCCAAATCTTTGCAACCCTGTGAACTACAGCCAGCCAAGCTCCTCTGTCCATGGGATTTCCCAGGCAAGAATACTGAAGTGGGTTGCCATTTCCTTCTCCAGAGGATTCTCCTGACCCAGGGATAGAGCTCACATCTCCTGTGTTGGCAGACAGATTCTTTACCACTGAGCTACCTGGGAAACCCTTTCACTTCTACCTTATTTCAAAGGAGGGACAGAGGGATCAACACTAAATAATAATTTCATTGTATAAACTTATACTTAATATATCCAAATCTTATCCTCTTTGTCTATGTCCTCATTTAAAATATATAAATAAATGTATTTTTCCCCCCTGACCAAGGCACAAAAAACATAGGATTCACAAAAGGTAGCTCAATCAGTTAACAATTTTATAACATGATTTGGTTTTGAAAATACCAATCATCCTGAACATTTAATATCATTCCAACTTACAAAACCTAATTACAAATACTCCCCAAATAATAAAACAAACAAACCAGAACTAAGGCTTCCCAGATTACATAGCTTAAAAAAAAAAAAAAAAACCCTGCAATAAATATACCACTCCACAAATCCAGCATCCTAAAACTTTAGACCAAAAGCAATTCAAAGAGCTATCAAGAATATCTAAAGCTTAAGTTGTCATTGAATTCAGGGGATTCTCTTATTTCTAAAATGGGATATATTTTAGGAATTTCCCTGGTGGTCCAGGGGTTAGGACTCCACACTTCCAATGCAGGGGGCACAGGTTGGATCCCTGGTTAAGAAATGAGGATCCCACACGCCATATGGCATGGCCCAAAAAAAAAAAAAAGTTTTTAATAAATAAAAGGATATTTTACCAATTCTTGACATTTCTTACATCTGAAAGGCAAAGGAGCTAATGTATGTGAAAGTCCTTTCAATTACAGCATATAGAATTTAAGGCATATATTACTCCCTTGTGTTCTTTAAGTGATTTCAAATTACCAATGTGTTAATGATTTTATAGGCACAGGCAAATAAGATTCTTTAAATAAGGATGAAATTATATAAAACCCATCAGTAAAAATAGAAAATTTTCATGTGTATCTTTTTCTGAATCTCATACTGAATACCACCAATTTATTTTTTACTTTTAATATTACCAATTTACCACTATAAAGGCATATAAAGTATAAACCATCACCATCCTAACCTTGCTTATCAAACACTGTCAGGTCAGTCCACTATAATACCCCACTCAATCTGCTCATCATTTCACAAGATTCCATAAAAAGAGAAACTGCCTAAAATGTCATCAAATTAGCAACTTCTCCCCACAGCTAGATCACTAAGTGAAAGTCACTCAGTCGTGTCCGACTCTGTGACCCCACAGACTATACAGTCCATGGAATTCTCCAGGCCAGAATACTGGAGTGGGTAGCCTGTCCCTTCTCCAGGGGATCCTCCCAACCCAGCGACTGAACCCAGGTCTCCCACACTGCAGGCGGATTCTTTACCAGGTGAGCCACAAGAGAAGCCCTACCCAAATTTGACAGGTTACCGTTCATCCATCTTATCAGATTCCCCACTAAATACCTAAAGAAGCCCTCACACCACTGTTTCACACCACCCTACTCTGTCTCCTTCACTACAGCACCGTCTGAAATCCCCTGGGTCGTTTGCTTGTTTCCTAGCTGTCCGTGAAAATATAAGAGCCACGAGGAAAAACACAATGTGAATGGGGCCCCGAGAGCTGCACAACAGCCGCCATGGCACTACTTTAAACTGCATTTTCATTCCTGTATCCCCAGCACTTCTCAATGCCCGGCACAAGAAAAACATGCACTAAGTACACTGGATGGATGGAAAAAACCCCGACTACTCTACAGTCCCAACTTACTACCTTCCCATATTCTTCAATCCCCACCTCCCTTTCCCTTTCCAATTCCTATTACATATTATACTTCTCTTGTCCTAGACCTTGTCTTTCCTCTATTTCATTTTCAGATTCTTACCTTCCTCCAAACCTTACCTCGTAAACCATTACCTGTGTGTCCTGTCTCTAACAGTCTTCTTCCTTGACCCCTTAGGCTGACTTCACTGCAGGCTTCTCATTATTCAGGTCTCAGCTCAAATGTTCTCTTCAACCATGTGACCCAGTTTGCCCAGAACAGTACTGGTTTACACCTGCTGTCCTAACCTAATTATTAGCAGAGCCTCTTTTTATTCTCAAAACTGTCTCCATTTGAACAATATATTATACTGTCATATCTCAAAATAACCCCTGGGGAAAAAATTCCAGCTGTCAGATTCTCTCACAATAACTGTTTTCTTTTTTATCACCTATAACTTTCAAAGTATCTTAAACAGATGTAAATTTAAAGTCTTCAACTACTTCAGTATAAGCTCCATAAGAACATAAGAACATAGAGCTTATGAATGTTTCCAGCTTATTCACAGTTGGATCCACAGCACCTAGAAGAGTATCCGACAGTCTGTAGGTACCTAGCATCTGGAATCTCCAGATTTAGCAGAGATCCTAAAGGCTCAGATCTTGTCTCTGGCAGTTCCTGCTCCAGGCAACAAACAAGGTTCTAGATACTTCCCTAAATTCAGGGAAGTATAAATTCATTTAAGATTGGGGCATATGGATGACACTTACTTTCATGTAACTGGGTTAAATTGGTATTTCTTTAAATTAAAGTAACTAGTTAATATGTTCGTTACTCGAAAGATAAGCTCTCTGATCTCCCTTCAGTGAATTAACAAAAGTATCATATAGACATTCAAGAAAAACAAAGGAATGCCAATATACAACAGTGATGAAAAAGTCTGTTGCTCATATTTGTGTTAAATGAAGAACAAGAGTGGGAAGGTGGGGGGAGGGGAGAGAGTTCCCTAGTGGTCCAGTGGTTCGAACTCTGTGCTCTCACTGTCAAGGGTGTCCATTGAATGTTTAACCCCTGGTTGGGGAATCAAGATCCCACAAGTCATGTAGGATGGCCAAAAAAAAATAAAGCACAGACTTTTATACAACTAAATTTTTACAATTATCTTGCTGAGTGTGATACTCTAAAAATATTTAAGAGAATGTAAACTCTTAGGCCCAAACTACAGATTAAACATGTCTAGAAGAGAGAAATTAAAGCTATTATTTCAATTTGATGATGACAATCCAATAGCCAAGTTCAAATATTCTTTTTTTTAATTGCAGTATTATTGACCTATAACACTATATTAGCTCCAGTCTGACTCAGAACAATCTCATTTTCACTGAAATATAGTTTCCAACATTCCTTTACCAACCATCTTTATATACATTAATTATGTAAATAGCTAGTGAAAAGATAAGTAATACAGAATGGTAATTAAGAAGGCCTGGACTTGAATTCAGCCTCTATCACTTATAACTATATGACTGTGGATTAAGTCACTTTCTCAAGTTCCTGACCTAAAAAGCTGGGATAATACTGAACTAACCTCAAAGGTACTGAGGCAACTGCCAGCAAAAAAAGCATGAACACTGTATCAGAGTACAGTGCTTAAGCACATAGTAAACATTTAATGGTAATGATATTCAGACAAAATACTGCTTTTTGTTCTAAACTTTTTTTTCTTACCAATTTTGATAATCTTTTAAAATTATCTTCCTAAAAACATTCTTATCTGTCATCTTACAACAATGTTTGTCAAGTTTTAGGCCCATGGGAGTCAGTATGTCTGCAATGAACTCTAGGATTCAATATTCTGAACAATCCCAACAAATTGAGACTCATGAAGCCAACTGACCACACTTGAAGAAACATTGAATTTAAAAAATTTTTTTTACATCAAAAAACTAGTTGCATGCTAAAAAGAAGAAGAAGAAAAAACACTGAATTATAAGTACTCAGCCAGCAATTCAACCTTTTCTGGAAGCCTCAAAGTAACCACTATAAACAACTAATACTGAATCCACCTGTGATGCAATGAAGCACGAGAGGCTACAAAGGTGTGTGGGGATTTGGCACCATGCCACAGACCCCAGTACTGCAGTGTCTGACTCTCATGTCACTGTTATACTTTACCAGCAGCCTCAGCTGTCAATTCTCACTATTGTCACAGTATGCCTATCTCCAGCAGTATTCACCTTTAGACCTTTAAAACTTTCTAGTAGGCTGCAGACTAAAAATAAGTCAAGTTTGTCTGGATAACTACAATAAAATTAATTGGATACTATCTGAAAGGACCAAAGTATATCTGTAAGCAGTGTAGTAAGTTATGTCACACCCATCTGAACATCTCAGAAGTCAGTTCTAAATCCCACCTTTTGACTGTGATCACGTTAGTTAAAACTACCAAATACACAACCTCTAGATAAGAGAAGTGAGTCTTTCTCTCTCTATACATACATGAAGTGAAGTGGAGTGAAGTCACTTAGTCATGTCCGACTCTTTGCAACCCCGTGGACCGTAGCCCACCAGGCTCCTCTGTCCCTGGGATTCTCCAGGCAAGAATATTGGAGTGGGTTGCCATTTACTTCTCCAGGGGATCTTCCCAACCCAGGGATCGAACCCAGGTCTCCTGCATTGCAGGCAGACACTTCAACCTCTGAGCCACCAGGGAAGCCTGTCTATATATATATAGACATACAGAGATGCATGTACATGCTTAAATGTATGCATGAATGTACATGCATGTGTTAGTCAAAAAGGTTCCATTTCCTTGCAAGTTTTTCCAAATTTTCCCTATACATTTTATGTCTAGTCCATTTCAATTTCTATTTTTCAAATTACTAATACTGTGTACAGAGTATTACCTTTCAAAGATTTTATAAAAGTGAAACTAGGATTTTACCATAAGGCTACCCAAATATAAAACATCGTATCTAAACACTTAGGTAGCATTGACACACAAGATTCAAAGCACTCTGTAAACAGAAGAGTCTAAATGGATGAGGAAATTCATGAATTTTCTCAAGGCCACCCAGTTACCCACAAAAACTGCGCTAAGGAAAAACAACTGAGAACCAGTTACTAAAATAATGACTAAAACAATGACTAAAAGTTTTTAAATTTTCTATTATATAAAGAGACATTACCCAAAAAAATATTTCAGTTTGTTCTTTTCTTTAATATTAGCTCCTAAGAAATCATGGACTAGTTCTCATAAAATTCTATCAAAATATAAACAATTTTTTAAAGTCACAGTTATTTCAAATCATCTTTAAAATTCCATTATTCTCTTTTTGAGCACCACAGTGAGTTATAGCTAAGAAAATACTAATTTTCATGTTATCTGGAGTTTCAGATAACTCATAAGTTGAACCAGTAAGTTAAAATTGGTTTATGAAAATATTAGACACTTAATTACATTTTCTGTGAAGAAAAAAACATTTTCTGCTGTCTTTTTGTGTTAAAATTAAAACACCTATATGCCAATGCATTAATCTCTAGTTCTTAAAATTACTGTAAAGACATTCTGTTCTTGCTGCCTAAATCTACTGAACTTCTGTTATTGCAATATCATATGAACTGTTTATCAACTTATATATCAATTTATATTACTTTTTCTTCTTACCTAATTCTGTTTACATAAGAGATGAAAACTTAAACATCTGCAATGTTAAATTACTTTTGGAAACAAGAGGGAGGGGAGAGCAGAGCAGAGTGAGGGCAGTCACCTTATGACTGACACGCTCCTTAATTTTTAGGAAACAGTTCCATTCCCAAACACTAACTTCTAATGATCAAATATGATAAGCAATCAAAATCTAATTAAACCTATATCACTGATACAAAATGAATCCTATGCCCACTCAAAACTGGCCACCTTGTCTCAGTATACAAAATAAGCGTGACTGATGACTACTCTTTTAGCCTACTAAGATAGGAAAACCCAAGTTCAACCCTTTAGAAGTGTCTTTTCTATCTAACAGAGTGAGCAATTATGCGGACACCACTGACAGTGACCGTGATAAGGACAGAAGAAAGAAAAAAACATAAAAAGCATAATATGACCATACTGTGGGAAAAATCTAACTTACACCTAAATTATTGTTTCAAAATGTTCTTTCCCAAGAGAATTAAATTCATACATAAATATGTCCATTATAGTCTCACTAGTAACAAAAATTACACCAATCAAAAATAAACTGCATTGTTTCTTTAAAAACTTTACCAGTGATATTAGCTGTAAAGCCTATTTCCAATATTCACTCATACAACATTCACTTCCAATAAACAGCAGGTACCCATTAACGCATGGCACTGGGCTAGAAATTGTTAACAGACATGACAAATTATTTCATAACAATTACCCTTACCTTCAGCTGAAATCCAGTTTCATTTACTGTCTCTTTCCAGTTGCCTTCCTAAAAATTAAAGGTAACTTTAGATATCACTGTAAAATAGCCCATAAGTAATATCCCAAATAAAATACCCATCATTCTGTTCTTCCCTCATGGGAGATGGGGGAAGAGGGGTTAAAAAAGAATTCTTTTCACTGCAAAATTACACATACAATCCAGATTCCAAAAGATTACCAGAGACAGCCCCAAGATTTTATAGATCTGGGATTCAAAACACTAAAGACTAACTTTCATACCATTTAAGTGATACCAAAAAGTACAATCTTTAGTATCTTTAAGTATAAAAATGTTAGCCAGAAGAATGATGTAATACTTTGGAAATTCAAAACAAACCATGAAATACATATAAATTAACAAAGGGCAGCTCCAAGAGAATCCTTAAGAAGAAGCACTCCACAATTTAAAATTTTAAAAATCCCAAGTCAAATGAAATTTTTTAAAAGACTAAATAAAAGAAAAATACCTGTGTTAAAAACAAATAGAAGATTTTGTCTCTACAAAGGATGGGATGTGAAGCAAGTCTCAAGAGGAAATTTTCTAAACCAATTCGTCGTCTTTCCACAAAATCCGGGTCCATGTTGTCAGCAGAGAGTTTATGCCAAACGAATTCTGCCTAGATAAACAAAACAATCATGAAGAATAGTCTCAATGCTAACTACTTCTAAACTACACCACCACTTCACTCCTTACCCTTTTTTCTGGTAGAGGTGGCACAACAATATGTGGATAGTAAACTAAAAGGTAGTTTCTCAACCACTCAAATGCACTACACCGCCTCCACAGTGAGTCTGTTAGGACACTCTGACCATCACTATGTTCAACTGACCTGAAAAAGACAGAATAAGATTTCTAGTGTTTTTTAAAAATACAAATGCATGCATACGACCTCCTTTTAAAACTGGTAACTCCATTTACTGAATGCTTATGAACCAGGAGGGCTATGAACCAGGCACTGAGAACTTTTCATGTATTATTTAATTCCTACAACAAACCTGGTGAAGCAGGGATTACTGTCCCCATTTCACAGATGAGAAAGCAGCTGCATGGTATATGCTCTTCCTTCAATCACAAAGATTTGTGGGTAGAGCACTCAGATCCATCTGATTCCCAAGCCCTCACTCCTAACCACTTTCCTCCATTATAGAAAACCTATTTGAACTTGAGAGAAATAGTCATATTAGGAATATTCTTCTCAACAAAAGCCTCAATATAAGATAATTCAGTTAACATAATGGCTGGCTTTATAATATAGTAAGAGTCTGGCTTCACCAGTGTTTCATTAAAGAAAAAAGTACTTTTAACTCTCACAATGAAAGAACAACTCCTGCCACAATGACAGAACAACATTCATGCCAAAGACCATGACACCAAAAAAATCCTCAATTTAACATCATCAAAAAATCAGATGCATCCAAGTGCCAGAAAAGATCCACAAAAGTAAACTGTCAAAGAGTGGCAAGAAGGGATGTAACAAATTAATTCTAGTCTTATATTTAATATAAAGAGCTGCAGGTAATGCCATGAGTCATCCATATAAAAGTTCAATTTGGGGGAAAGCTGGGTAAAATCATAAAAATAATATTTGAAATTATTTTGACTATTTATCATTTCTGCTACCATAATGACTATTAGAAAACATCAGCCTTCTAAACATTATTGGAACCTTCCCATTTCCTAATAGAAAATAACTTACAGATCCTCCAAGAAACATGCATATAACCAAAATGTGCATTTGTGCAAGTACAGTATAAAGGCAGAGAGGCTAAATCAGTCTCAGAATAAAGTCTCGAGAAAATGGATACACCACACCATGCTCAACACAAGATGTTCATTGTTTTTATTATTTATATATCGTTTTCTAAATTAATTCACTGTATATTAATTTAAAAGGGAAACAATATGAAATTCAAAATATACAAATGGTTTTCATGGCAAGATACAGGATTATTAAATGATAATTCATTTTAAAGAGTTGACCTAACCATTAGCTGACTAAAACTGTTCTAATTCAGATTTTCGACTTCAGCTAAAAAAACATATCTTGGGTTAATATCAAGTTTCAAATTATTCAAAATTATTACCAACAGAGCCCAAATCTTGCTAAAAAGTAGATAAATATAGCCTATAGGCAGTACACCTAAAGGCTGTTAGAAGAGCTGTTACAAGTTGTTTTTGCTTTGTTTTATTTCAAAGCCCACAAAAAGAAGTCAGCGGAAGCCACCTAAAAGCATAGAGAAGACTTTCTTTGGACCACAAAACTACCCCATTTATCCAATTATTTAATAAATGTTTAACAGCACATAATTGGTTTCACATGCAATATTTAAATTAAATTTAACCGTTTAAACCATTTAATATGACAAAGTATATAGGATCTTTAGCCCTGCTTTACAAATTAGAAGAATTCAGGAAAGACATCATACAGCTTCCCAAGACAAAAGAGGCATCTTACCTGTTAATACACACAGTGTTCTTACCTATTTTAAAAGGGTTCATACTTAATGAACAGCAAAACATAGAAATCCCTGGAGAAATCAAAATCAATGACCTTAGCCTTATTAACCCTTAGCCTATTAAACTGTAACACGATAGGCAACTGCTAAACTGACTTTCTTCATGTGTCCACAGAGTAGGTTGATGAGCTATGTGATAAAGTTGAACTTTTAGTCAATGTCAAGGCTCAACAATATTTATAGTGTCGAAGATACTCTGCATAACACTGAATTACAGCAAGAATTCTACATGACCAAAATAATAAATTCCAGGGTTCTGTGGCTGCTGAAGGTCAGTTACAGTGCTGACAAAATTATTTATAAACTATCTATAAACAGTAATTTTCAAAGTGGATGTGCATATGATATGGGATAGGCAAGAATTTAAGACAGGGAAAACACAACTTATAAAGAAAAAAGATAAATTTGACTATCTTAAAATGTAAAGCTTTTGTATTTGAAAGATAAAACTATGGTCCATGGCTTATTTGCTTCAAAAACACCTGGAACTTAAGCTTAAAATGTGTTAATTCCTGGACCCCACTCAAAATTCTGTAGCTTAACAAATTTTTCAGCTGATTCCTATATATTTTAAAGTTTAAGAATCACTGTTTTAAAATAAATGAAATATAAGTGTGACAGTCAACTCAATATCCTTTTGTGTACCACATTATTCACTGATGTTCCTAGATATTTATCCAGAGGCTAGCTATATTACTCATGTATGGTCACTTCTAACTCCAACTTTTGAATTATAATTCTCTATTCATTTCAAAGTCAAGAGTAAACAACTATAATAAATAGAGTAAACAGCTATAAATTATTCCAGATTATTGAAATCAAGAGGTTCTTCTAGCAGTAAAGTTAATCAACAGCTAATTTCATTGTTGAACTGGATGAAGAAACAGGCATATACTAAAAATATCCTTTTTAGTTTTAAATTTAAGAATTTACTTAAAAAGCTAGAGCCAATACAAATTTCTAAAGTATGATATTTTAAAATGGCTAATTAAACTAAAAAAAAAAAACCTCTCATGGGACCATACTTTTTAAAAATTGACTTAAAAGTCTCTGATACATATGCATGTATGTACACAGGCAGGATACTTCCCTGATCCACCAGGCAAGTCCCTCTACTTTTCTTTAAAAAATATGGACTATACTTTTTTATTAATTTTTTTAAAATATTTTGGCCACACTGCACAGCATGTGGGATCTAATTTCCCCAACCAGGGATCAAACCTGCACACGCTGCACTGGAAGCATGGAGTCTTAATGGACTACCAGGAAAGCCCCCCCTACTTGTTTTAACTGAAAGTATTGCTTCTCAGCTCACACACAGAAAAGAGCTTGTCGGTGTAGTCTTGATATAAACTATTTATAATAAGCAAAATTCCCAGGTGGTACAGTGGTAAAGAATCCACCTGCCAATGCAGGAAATGTGGGTCCGATCCCTAGGTCAGGAAGAGGCCCTGGAGAAGGAAATGGCAACCCACTCCAGTATTCTTGCCTGGGAATCCCATGGACAGAGAAGCCTGGTGGGTCACAAAGAGTCAGACATGACTGCACACACACACACACACCCTTTGCTTTTCTCTGGACAAAACAGTTTAACTCATTTAACTTTTTGCTTATGAAGTAAAAGACTTTTCTGGTGAGTTTCTGAAGTAAATAACCTTACTTATGGCTGTGCGGAGTCCTCCCTGCTGCGTGGGCTTTCCTCTAGCTGCGGTGCGCAGTGGCTTCTCTTGCCGTGGAGCACAGGCTCTAGGGGGCGGGCCTCAGTAGTTGTGGCGCGTGGCCTCAGAAGTCATGGCTCCCGAGCTCTCGAGCACAGACTCAGTAGTTGTGGCACATGAGCTTAGTTACTCTGAGGCACGTGGGGTCTTCCCAAACAGGGATGAACCCGTGTATCCCGCATGGGCAGGCCTGTGATGTGGATGGGATCTGGATGTTACTTGACACTAAAGCAAGCACCAAGTAACATCCAGTAACCTTCGTTCTCCCTCCAAAACAAATACATTCAAATTTAGCTAGAGTACCAGGGTAAAAGAAAACCCGGTCACCTGTTAAAAAGTAAAGAAACAAAAAGACAATGACTTGTAAATGATTCCACTATACAACAGAATTTGCATCAACAGCTACCAAAGCTTTTTCTAACTTCAGACATAATTCTCATCACTCACCTTGTTTCAATGAGGTAAGCAGTATATGTTTCCTGCATGTTCATGGCATTTCTTCCAGTTCGCTTTTCTGCTTCTGAAACACTAATTTCTATCTTCTTCAACGAAAAATTACTTTCTGTCATCTGAATAAAAATAGAACAACAAAAACTTTTTAAATGATACTGAAAAAAAAACCCAGCTAGTATAATCAAATCCATTATTAGTACATATCTCAGGTTACTTTTTTTTCTATCTCTTGCGTACCTAGTGGCTGCTAAACGACATCAGCAAATGATATGCCTCTTTTTACCAGCATGTAGCACATTAAACTTTTCCAGAAGCTATTTTAGCAAGTGCCATAGATTTAATTATTAAAATGTAGGCATGATTATAGGAGAAAAAAATTAAAATAAAAAGCATACCTACAGAAAAAGAGACACAGATATACAGAACAGACTTTTAGACTCTGTGGGAGAAGGAGAGGGTGGGATGTTCAGAGAGAACAGCACTGAAACAAGTATACTGTCAAGGGTGAAACAGATCACCAGCCCAGGTTGGATGCATGAGACAAGTGCTCGGGGCTGGTGCACTGGGAAGACCCAGAGGGATGGGATGGAGAGGGAGGCGGGAGGGGGGATTGGGATGAGGAACACATGTAAATCCATGGCTGATTCATGTCAATGTATGGCAAAAACCACTATAATATTGTAAAGTAATTAGCCTCCAACGAATAAAAATAAATGGAAAAAAAAAAAGCATACCTATCACTTAAATGACCAAGAATAAATCTATATGGAAATGTATAAGAAAAAATTTAAAAACACTGTTTACAAGATGAATGGTCCTCAATACTGATCTTTTTATTTTACCAGTCCAATCAAATATAAAATGCTATATAACAAAAGGTGAGATTTTCAGCTTTCAGCTTTAAAAATTAAAGCTGAATTTTAAATTTTTTTAAAAAGAAGGAGCCATCACATATTTGATCATAAATTTGCCTAAACATTTTGGCAGTGGTTAACAGGCTCCACTGTGAGATGGCAGGTTTTTCCTTTTTTATAAATATTGTTTTTATTGATTTATTCATTTTTTATTGAAGTATAGTTGATTTACAATGATGTTTTAATTCCAGGTATACAGCAAAGATATTCTTTAATATATATTCTTTTTCATTTTATTTGTGATTATAGTTTATTACAAGATAATGAACAGAGTTCCCTGTGCTATACACAGGACCCTGTCTATCTGAGATAGTAGGTTTTAAGAACAGGAAACTTCTTTCTTTTCCTGCTAGATCATCCCCAGGTCTGTATCAAACATCACTGGTGGTTCACAGGCTCTTTGTGACACTGAAGAAAGAAAGTGAAAGTGAAGTCGTTCAGTCCTGTCCAATTCTTTGCAACCCCATGGACTATAGCCTACCACGCTCCTCCATCCATGGGATTTTCCAGGCAAGAGTACTGGAGTGGGTTGCCATTTCCTTCTCCAGAGGATCTTCCCAGCCCAGGGATCAAACCTGGGTCCCCCGCATTGTAGGCGACGCTTTACTGTCTGAGCCACCAGGGAAGTGCTGCCACAGAAGAAGGTCTTGAATACACCCAAACTAGCCCGAGTTCACACACGGTGAGGCCATGCGATAACTGCTGCTCTTTCCTTTCTGTTCCCTTGCTTTTTTTTTCTCCCTTTCTCCCTGAACTTTCAAAGTTCAGAAGTGGGTTTTAATTAAAAAGCATTGTATTGCACTACAACCGGGGGTGGTTTGTGAAGAAGAGATATAAGTAAAAAGATGGATATACCAACAAGTTAAAAGAAAAAGCGGTATGTAATAAAAATCCATGATGATACTTTACACAGAAAATTAAATCTGTATGCTATGAAGACAGAATAAGCTATGTGACAATACACAAAATTAAATCAGTGATGAATAAAGATGACATGCTTAGAAAGTATCCCAAAAGCGCTGAAGAATAATAGAGGAGGTAAAGATGCTAAAAGAAAACAAAGGACAGAAAACTAAAAATGAACCCAAAACAATACTACTCTGTTGCCAAACAAGACAAATTTTATAAAATGTAAGTTTTATGTTCATGTACTGAAAGAGAAAACAAGATAAAGAAAAATCATTCAACTAAAAGAAAGCTCAAGAAATTACATAAGCATAAACCACTCAACATCAGGATTATGAAGTCCTCAAGGGTTGAGATTATACATATAAAAAATTTTGGCCTACAGGCAAGCACTGATTTATCACCAAGTACTTCACTGAAAAATTATCTGAATTCTAGAATCAGATAAAACTGATAAAACAAATTATTTCCCGCCAAAAAGATAGTGCACATGAATCATAAATTTATCCCATTATGTCATCCAAATAATTACACAGAAGGGAAAAATAAAAGTATAAAATCAACTATCATAAAAACTAAAGACAGGCACATAAAAATATCAGCAGGAATTGGTAGATGATATAAAATTGCTAATACTGTCATACTAAAGTACAAACAGTGCCATGAATAGCATAACTAATGTTAAAAGGACACATTAAAAAGATTTAGAGATGGATAAACTTGATGACTGGAAGATGAGACTAGGAGTGTGTTTTAAAGAGAGAGATAATATTTTATGTATTTAAACTGAAATACAGTTGATTTACAATGTTGTATTGGTGAAACACAATGCTTCAGATGTATTAAAAGTGGACTTCTCATCAGAGTAAAGAATATCATTAAAGAATGATGCTACGCTCGTATCCTATACTTACATTCAAAGAATAACATCCCAAATGTAGATGCTCGATAGGTGAATCACTACTTCCCACCTGACTTAAGACCAAATATATACAAAAGATGGACATATTTAAAAGGCTGACGAAAAATAAAATAAAATAAAATAAAAGGCTGATGAAATTTTTTATTTCCAAGTCAATGAGCAAAAGTCAATCTGTGTGCGTGTGTGCCAAGTCACTTCAGTCATGTCCAATTCTGCGAACCTATGGACTATAGCCCACCAGGCTCCTCCGTCCATGGAATATTCCAGGCAAGAATATTAGAGTGGGGTGTCATTCCTTTCCCCAATTAACTTTCCAACCCAGGGATCAAACCTAGGTCTCCTGCATTGCAGGCAGATTCTTAACCATCTAAGCCACCAGGCAAGCCCCAAAATCAATCTACTATAAGTTTTAAAATATTGCAAGGACTTCCCTGGTGGCTCAGTGGATAAGAATCCATCTGCCAATGCAGAGGACACGGGTTCGATCCTTGGTCCAAGAAGATTCTACATGCTGCGGGGCAACTGGGCCTGTGTGGCACAACTACTGAGCCCGCACTCTAGAGCCCTCAAATTGCAACTACGGAAACCCATGTGCCCTAAAGCCTGTGCTCTGCAACAAGAGAAACCACAGCAATGAGAAGCCTGAGAACCACAAGAAGAGAACAGCACCTGCTTGTCGCAACTAGAAGAAAGCCAATGCCCGCGATGAAAATCCAGTGCAGCCATAAATGAAGAAGTAATGCTGCAAACAGTGAAACAGTAAAAGCAAGCATAAGACAGGTAACAGTGATAAAAGGAATGATAAGAAACTATTAATTCAATAACTGAATGATTACTGAGTATATACAATGTCAGTCATTAGGAATGGGAGATAACTGAGACAAAGTGCGTGAGTTCAGTGGTTCAAAGTGCAGAGTTCAGTAGTTGAGTTTGCCTGAGGAATTCTCACCATTCAAAAAAGAGAAAATGATGAAAGATGATTTTTTAAAAAAGGAAAACTAAGAACCAATGCTTAAATAATACTTCTTAAAGAAAAAATCAGAAGAAACAGAACAGAAATAATAATCACCAGTATAAAGAAAAAAAGAAACCAACAAAAAATCTTTCTGGATTGAAAATATTTCTACAGCTCCAAATTGAAAGGCATGTGGTCCATGTATAATGAATTAGAAGATTAAACATCTTCAGCATAAAGGAAAAAAATCCTAAAAGGATTAAGGCAGGAAAATAAAAAGCACAACCACTGCCAAAGAATAAAGACCAGATTTGCCCTAGATTTCACAATAATATAAAGTCCAAATGACAAAGGAGCACCATGCATATAGAATGCTTGAAATATTATAAAAATACTAACACACTGTTCCTTTAAAGATAACTTTATCCAGAAGGGATTTTTGCGGTGTTTCTTTTTTTTTAGAAACTGATGCTCTGTTCCTACAATTTATATGGAAATACAAAGAACCTAGAATAGCCAAAATAGTTTTGAAAAATAACAAGTTGCAGGATCTATACTATCTCGTTTCAAAATTTATTAAAAAGCTAAACTAATCACGACAGTGGGGGCACTGGCAGGGTAGACATAGACATTAATGGATCAATGGAAGAGAACTGAGAATTCAGAAGTAAACCCTTACATTTAAGGTCAAATGATTTTAATAAACACACCAAGAGAATTCAACAGGGAGAGTCTTTTCAACATATAGTGCAGGGGCAACTGAGTAGCCACAGACCAAGGAAAAAACTCCAAAACTAGACCTTTACTCACATTGTACACAGAAATTAACTCAAAGTGGCTTACACACGCAGATATAAAAGCAAAACCTGGGGAATTCCCTGGCAGTCCAGTGATTAGGATTCATATGCTTTCACAACCAAGGAGCCAGATTCCATCCCTGGTCAGAGAACTAAGATCCCATAAGCCACCTGGGGTAAGCTCAAAAAAAGACAAAGAAAACATGATCCTGGGATAAGCAAAGCGTTCTTAGATAAGCACAAAGGAAGAAAAAAAGACCACCTGATCTCCTAGTCTTCATCAAAATTAAAAACTACTGCTAAACTTTCAAAGATATCATTAAGAAAAAGTAAAAAGCCACAGCCCAAGGGAAATATCTGCAAATCTAATTATTTGATTAAAAAAAATATCCAGAACAACATGTGCTTATGTGCTCAGTCATGTCCGACTCTGCGACCCCACGGACTGTAGCCCACCAGGCTCCTCTGTCCATGGAATCTTCCAGGCAAGATGACTGCAGCAGGTTGCCATTTCCTACTCCAGAGGATCTTCCCAACCCAGGGATCAAACCTGTGTCTCCTGCACTTGCAGGCAGATTCTCTACCACCAAGCTACGTGGGAAGCACCCTCAATAAAAAGAAA